ATGATGCTGAATTTTTAGCATCAAAAGAAGAATGCCAAGTTAGATCTGACTTGAATAGATATCTTTTTAGCTTGAAAGCCATTTAAAGATTTATCAACACTGAATGGCAGTTGGTAACAATAAAACTCAAGTTCTGTTCAGGCTGTTGGCAACTTGGGAACATAAGCGAGTGCCGCGAAACACGAAATAATAAATAAATAGCCAAGTGCATTCTCAAGATTCTGTATGTTTAGAGCGAACTTCTAGTTTTCACAAATGAAAGGAAACTTTTATCAATAGTTTTGTGTAATTCTAACTGATATTTCATAAATGTAATGCCTTTGTTATTCTAAAGTACAATATGTGCGGAAATTATCAATATATTTTCGTCTTTTATTCATCAAAGATGTTACCGGCGTCAACCGGGCGTCAAGTCAACTGGGGATGAGGTGACTTCGGCCAAATTACACTAGTTTCTGCTTTCTGCTAATCAAATTCCTACAAAATAGGAATGAGGCGTTGCAGGCGATTGTAAATTTGTTAATATATTACCGAAATGTTCTTCTTTAAATATGTCATGTCTAAATTATGTAACTTTTTTTCTTTAATATATATTTTTAAATTAGCTCTTTAGCTGGGTCAGGGTGGCCGATGCCGCCCGATGTCACACCCGCACACCGTGATCACTCGGTCGGCAGCGGTACGATGGGGGGACTTTTGCCACACGTGTTAAAACACAGTAAAAACTAAAAACGTAGTTAAAATGATTTTGTGGCCAAATTCAACATTATGCCCAGCAGTGGCAAACCAGAGCTTTTTTGGAATCAGTTTTTTGATTTTGTGGCCAAATTCAACATTATGCCCAGCAGTGGCAAACCAGAGCTTTTTTGGAATCATTTTTAATTTCCTCAAAAACTCAAGATTTAAACCAATTACTTAAGTATTATAATGCTGGTATTTTTTTTACACCCATCTTTGTACCTCCATTTTCTACTGCACCACGCCCCATAGAACGGGGGGCGGCAGTGGTATAGTCAGATGGGGTAAGACAGGACTGAAATCACTAACAAGCCTGTAGCATCCCACTGTGCAGAGAGTGGATAAATATTGCAAGATCTTTGGTGACGCTTCAGAAGCCAAATTTTTGCCTTCAGAAGATCTTGCCGATACATTTAGATTGAAATTCTTGCATTTAATATATTTCTCAGTCTTTGGCCAACTATTTAGAAAAAAAGTAAGGTTGTTGACTAAAATAGTAGAACTATTTTAGCTTTCTAAAGTACGGCGCACGGCGCATTTTTTTACCAACGTAGTACGGCGCACCGCGCAGGTCGTTAAAATGACAAAATAAATTCCCGCGCACCTGGCACATCTTCCTGACCATGGGGTAAATGAGGAAATTGAAATGAGATGATTCTAAAAAAGCTGTGGTTTGCCACTATGCCCATGAGATCTGGACTCTTGAGCATTCTTAAAAAAACCAATGATGCTTGATAGAGGTGCGACCCTTGAACTTGCGTAAAGTGTGACCCTGTTTGTTAAAGTAATTTTTATCCAAAAAATGCAGATCCATACTGGCATAATGGGAAGCCCCAGTCTGATAGCAGAATAATGTAGGATACTAAATCTGACCCCTCCATAAATGAAAGAGTAGAGCAGTAGACTGTCCTAAATTTTTTACATGACGGCCGGCACATTGGGGATTGGTTGGTCAAAGTTGAACGAGGGACTTTGCCAATATTAGCAGCTTCTTATGCATAGTGACAAACCAGATTTTTTAGAATCAGTTCATTTTTAATTTCCTCATTTACCCTAGATTTAAACCAATTTCTTATGTAAGATACTGCTGGGATCCATGATACTTTACTGGTCTACTTATAGGACCCAAAAATGAACTTGAGGGAGGGTCTAAAAACTCTCTGCTTTGCCACTATGTTCTTATGGCTAACACTATATTCTATCAATTGCAATTTGCAATGTTCTCTTAAATCATTAAATGACTCCTCAGAATATATGGCACAGAATCTAATTTACATTTATAGCCGCGCCCATGGTCAGGAAGATGTGCCAGGTGTGAGGGAATCTAAATTGTCTTTTAATAAACCTGCGCGCTGTGCCGTACTATGCTGGTAAAAAAGATGTGCCATGCGCCGTACTCCAGCAAGGCTAAAATAGTTTAAATATGGACGCGACAATGCTATTAGTCTATCACACACTGTACACACAAACGTATATCCGCATTGTGTTGCGGTTGGATATGAAGATTCTTTCATAGATCACAATTCAAGCAAACATTAATCACAGAACTAGAAAAGGTGACATTGCTCAAGATGTGCCATCAATGCCTACTAATGATTGACTGGTTGTGGCAAGTAGGTACAAACCTGTATGTCAACGTCAGGACTACTTTGCCAACATTCCCCCGGAAGGTGAAATAGACACAATCAATACAAAATAACAATGCACGTAAATGGACTATACAAATTAAGTCAATATGGCATAATTACAGAGCATTATTAGACTATGTGATACAAAATATAAATCTATATTTGAAAGGTGAGTCAATGGTCTGTCGTTTATTTTTGCCTCATTTGAGCAATTATGGTTTCCAAATCTGGGTGCATTAAGTTATGTCATGTATGCTTTGAATGTGCAAAAAATTATAACTATAATATGAAAGTTGTTACGTAGATTATCATAGCACAAATCGCAATAGAGTATCAAGATTGCAGTTCTGCCTCCACCCTTCATTGAATTATCAATTATCCTGCCTTTTTTCTAAAATTCGACAATCTCTCTTCCAGCAAAGTTTGCAAAATTCATTAGCTGCATAGAATACTCTCTGCAGTGGTGTTCGATTTCCGGTTGACATGACAGCTGTTTGGTTGTTTGACGCTAATTTCGTAAAGGTTGCTTCAGATAAATTAATCATTGCCATTCCCATATTTCATACTCAATGTAATGTAGCTAACGATATTGAATGGCATTATTCATACAAACTTGTACCTATTAAACTTTTACATTTAAGATCTGATGAACGCTGCAAGTGTCCCTAACAATATGAGGATGTATATAAAAACATTAATGATCTAGAAGCGGACTAAAAAAACATTTCAACATCGCTATAATTAAATAAAGATCATTACCATCAACCGGGGCTACTCGGGACGGGCGGGTAACTCGGGACAGTCCTCCAAGACAGCGTAAAACTGTTTTAGTATCAAAACTAATTGGAATATTGAAAAACTAAATATAGTGGCATAAACTTCAACATTTTTCTTATCTATGTAGTATAAAGGAAGTTCAAAAATACTACATTTACTAGCTTTAAAAAATTCCTGAAGAAATGGTGAAAAACTATATCTTGAAAAGTTACTGCTGCTAAGGTCTGTAGTAAAAAAAATATTTGCCGTATTAAAAAATTTTGCTTAGAGAAAAGTGGCAGACAAGTTTCAGCATGAAAACTTTATTTGCAGAATTTACATACCTCAATAAAAAAAATGGCAGCCATTTCTGCATGGCAGGGCTACTCAGGACACCCCCCCCCCTGGGGCTATTTAGGACACCCCTCAAAAACACATTTACAGTAGGACCTCAGTTAGCAAAGGCTCCAGTTAAGAAAAAAATTGATTAAAAACAAAGAATATTGATTACATTTACCTTGATCAGCAAAAAAAAATTCACTTATCAAAATATTAGTGCATCGTCGGTCATCACAAAATTGTGCATAGAATGTCATATATAGAATTGTGCACCAGGCATCATAGAATGAAAAGTAATTGACCTAAACTATGATTTATTTCTCCTAAACATATGATGGTTGTCACTAAAACATTCCTTTCTGCTTCAGGTATGTTTTTCACAATCTTTTTTTATTGTAAATTCACTTAACCCAATTAAAATAGTGTGAAATTACAAGCCGTCCTGTAAGCTTACAGATACAGAAAAAATGCTATAAGGCTTGCTTGATATGAAGCTTGCAGTGGACAAGGTAGTTGAAATTCTCAATGGCCTGTTCATGGATACGGTAATATCGCATCAATAATACGGTAATTAATGTATATGGTAATATCATATCAATAAAGAAAAAACAAGTAAAAATCACAGAAAATCTCATTCATTCTACCTCTACATCATCTACAATGAAAGAGGAGGACTTCAGAGTACTGTTAGTAATGGATGAGTACACTCTGCAATCTGCATGTTTCAAATGTTTTAAAATTAAGATTTATTCCAAGTGTCCTGAGTAGCCCTGTTCGACAGGGCTACTTGGGACACTCTTTTTTTACTTCTGGCACCTTACAAATAGCATATGGAATTTTTTTGGAGAAGCCATGCAATAGCCCTTGCAAAGAGCTTTGAAATGAGCCTAAACTTGTTTATGAAATGTTTCATGGTAAGAAGTTATGAATGAAAAACGTTTGAAATCGTCCCGAGTAGCCCCGGTTGACGGTATATTACAATATATAATTTATTACAATATTTTATTATAACCTATAATATTATGAAATTGGCTAATTTTTATGTACAACTTATGAAATTTGACTTATTATAATCATTCAATATTCATTCTAAATAACACATTACCTAAATACTGGAATCTATACACTGGATGACTGAAATTTCTGTACTGAAACTACAAAGATCATTAGTTCTCATTAAACATGGTGACTATTGGAAATTAACAGGGAGTTGATTATGTTATGACTGAATGTTTAATAGGTATAAACTTTAAATAAAAAGACAAATGAAAATGAATGCTGATTGATTGCTTGATATACCTAGCCACACGTGCTAGCTTTAAACTACAATATATTTTTATTATAAGTGTTGAAAAGTACCGTACCGTATGTTTGTTAATGTGTTTTGATTAAGAACTTGTAAATTGAGATGAAACTGGCAATGGACATTTTTGATGTCTAGCGTTTAGTACTTCCGGTCATCATTCCATGATATTTGAACCATTTTTGTCTATAATGAAAAATCCAATAAGTTGTCCTCATGTGTATTTATACTTTCAGGTAACCACTCATTATTATAAAATATATAAATTTTACTCACAGATAGGTTAGACAAAAACTCATATAATGGGTGAGAACGAACCTCAGTTCCTGCCTGTATTTACTGGCACTTACGGGGAACCCTTCGCATTCTCAATGTACGACTGCCCAGAAAAGCCTAGAATCAAGGCCCTCATTGAGGTAAGTTACACTTTCATAGCTCATGCAATTTTTTCTCTCCTGTTATATGTTTGTTTTGAATATATCTTGAAATTGCAAAAATTCTACAAGTTATGATGATTATTTGTAATCATCTTACTGGTTATTGAATTTGTTCCATTAGGTACAGACAAATGAGGTCTCAAAGTGTCTGAAAATATTGTGAATATTTAGAAGTTGAACAGTTCAGACAGTTGAAAACAGTTGAGGCTGTTGAAATTGACCAGATACCTAGCTTGAAAGTTCTTACCAACCAGTGAAAATTTACAGACACGGCAGCTTCTAATTTGGATTACCAGAAGCTGGGGTGACTCTAAATTTTGTTAGGGCAGAGGAATCCATGAAATATCTTGGATTGTCTTAATAATTGTATCATATTGGAGAAAGGGCATAGGATCTGTATGACTGAAAGGCTAACTTTATTCTGCTGTCATAAGTAAATAGAAAGCAGTGTCTCACATGTACATTACTTGGGGTAGAAAGAATCGGTTAATACACAGCCATTCCAAAGCATTAATGAGCAAACCATATTCCAATTTAGTCACCCAACCATATGTGCTTTCCTAATGAACATATTTTAACAATGCCTCATTGAAAGAATTAATACCCATGCCATGCTGAAAATATGCCAAATGAAGCTAATCAAGCTATAATTTGGATATCACTCAATGACTCATCAGGTTTTATTGTGATTTCTATTAAATAATAGTTAAACAATGTAACTGTTGAAACATTCATATAATTACTGACTAAGGCTCTTTTATGTTGTGATTATTCAAGTTGATAATAACTAAACCTAAATTATCACCATGTATAATTTTTAACTGCTCTTGCTTGAATCTTGTTCCAGGGACATGGTGGTGTAATGATGCCTTCACCTTATGGTCCTCACACCATTCATCTTGGTATCCCAGACAGAATTACCATCAGCCAAAGACCAACCTTTTCCTCCCGTTATATAGAGGACTGTGTTGCGATTGATGACTTTTTGAATCTAAAGGATTACAGGCTAGTAAATATATAAATTTAAAAAAATATGGAGCTTTTCCTTGAGCCATCAAGGTAACAACTTTTTTCAATAAATAAATAAATGGTTAGTGGCTTGAGTTGCAGCCATGTGACATGTAAGCTTTGAAATATGTTCAGCCAAAGACCAACTTTTTGCTCCAATTATGTGGATGATTGTGTTGCGATTGATTCAGGAATCAAGAGTTCTTGAATGTTCAGGACTTTTTGAATGTTTAGAACTTCATGAATGTTCAGGACTTCTTGATTGTTCAGGACTTTTTGAATGTTTGGGACTTCTTGAATGTTTGGGACTTCTTGAATGTTCAGGACTTCTTGAATGTTCAGGACTTCTTGAATGTTCAGGACTTCTTGAATGTTCAGGACTTCTTGAATGTTCAGGACTTCTTGAATTGCTTTCTTGTACAACTTGATTGTTGATTGTTGAAAAATGATAAAAATTCAGTTTGAATTCTATGATTTCCAGAATTGATCAAGGCCCTCCATATGATGCACAGAAAATGCTGCGAGTGATGCTAGGGGAGATGACATGGGAGGAAGTAATTCCTATTCAATGGTAAGTGAAATAAATTGTCATGTAGGTATTTATATATATTCAAGTATATATATATATAAGAATTTCGAACAATTACCGGACAAAATTGGTAACATTAGCGGACAGGGGGTACAAAACCGGACAAAATCAAGTCTGGTAATTAACTCTGCAATTAGTTTTTACTTAAATATCGGACACGAAAATAAATGAACTACATTACCAGACACCAAAAAAAGCCAACCTCGTTAGGTTAGGGTTAGAGTTAGGGTTAGGTGTGTCTAAAACCCTTCTTTAGGTTGCTAGAGACCGTTTTACTGAGGTTAGGTCCAGCCAGGTCAAGTTTTTTTCTATATATTTTTTGCAATTTAGAAAAAAAAAAAAATAATTAAAGTCCGGTAAAGTGGATTTATGACTTTATATATGTATATATATATATGCAAATTTGATTTAATATCAGAGCATGCTTTTTATTGATAATCTTCTTATTCCTTTTGTCAATGAGTTGAACAAAATTTCTTGCTGGCTCCAGCAATAAATTTTGTTTTACTTGTTGATAAACCAAATAAGAAGATGGTTAAAAAAAACATGTTCTGGTCTTCAATCAAACTTGCATATAAGAAAGGCTCCTGCCAAATTAGGCAAATTACACCACTGCCTTTAATCAATAGTCCATTGATTTATTAGTTTAGATGGCAGAATAAGCTTGTATAAACACGGATGTATAATGGTCAGAGAATCCATTGATTCAAATTTTCAGGGTTGAAAATTTTTTCAAATGTCAGTTGATCAAAATGCAGGTTCTAGGTAGTAATTTTAATTTAGTAGCAACGTTTTGAATGTGAAAACATCCATTCCAAGTTTTAGGAAGCATTAAATTCTGCAATTTTAGTGGAAATAAGTACATGATACATGTAAATATAATATACGGTTAAACAAAAATCTGGAACTGTGAAAATAACTCAAACAATCTCAAAGTTCAAAAAATCTGGTTGAGATAGATAGCTGGAGTCCAATCTATAGAGTTCATCTGATGTAAAAAGTGTAACTCGAATCTTTTGTTGCAATGGTATGCATTCAACTGACTAGAGAATTGAAATTTGTCCGTGACTGCTAGGGAAGTTGTGTGTGGGATAAATCGGAGTTAATATCTAAAGTGATTAATCATCACACAATTACCACACCAAGTTGACTCTTTTTTCTGCTGCTATTATAAATAATAACATAACTAAATTATTCAATTCATTGTACTTCTTGGCAGAAAATGGCTTAAAAATTTGAACAATCACTCACTTTTGAATATATGAGAAAAGGGATCTTAAAATAAATAATAAAATAAAAATAATCTTACATTCAAACTATTATGAGAGCTTTATTATTATGTTGAAATTCTGTTATCCATTTTCCGGACAGTCAAATGGCAAGTTTTCTATTCTATTCTTTTATCTGTTATTTTTTTTCCAAATCCAGCATGCTTATATTCATCCAAATTAATGTTAAATAATTATTTTCAGTTGCATTCCACCACCACCACCACGACCTGATCGGTCGTCCTCGTCCTCCTCATCTTCTGATGACGAGAGCAGCTCTGTGAATAACTCAAAGCAAGTAAAAGTAGTATTCAGGTGAGACAATTTCGTTTAGCAGAGCACAGTTAAAGAGGAAATTAACCAATTTCAAATTTTTAACTGGAGGATTTTTTTGATTATCCGATTTCAAGTGTTAATTTGAGCAAGCTTCACGTTTATAAAAATGCATCCAATTTTTATCATTTTTTCATACACAAATTCTCTAATCTTATTTAATTTGAATTTTAAATCTAAAAAATAACTCAACTTGGACTGAAATCAATTATGAAACATATCAAGTGAGAAATTGATTGGCTTAAGTGTTTTTGTGTCTCAAACAAGGTAAAATGTGTCAAAAATATCGAAATTGAAATTTTCGGTATCATCACTATCATGCAATATGGAGCGATGTTGTTTAATATAAAAAATAGTTAGTAGTCAAAATAAATGAAGTTCTCTAATCCATCCATATAACTGATCTGCATCGACAATACTGGTTCCCTTGTAAAAAATGGTGATTGCCTTGAGAGTTGCTTTAATTTCATATTAGTTTTCCTTCATAATCACCTCTCCATATTCTTTAATATGAAGGCATCATTTTTGTTCCTAGCAAGCGTCGCGACTATTCTAATGAAGACCGCGAGAATATCGTCAAGTTTATTCTGCACAACGATCTTGCTGAGGCGGTGCATGGTCGCAAGATGTGGGAGAATATGGCTGCTGCGAAGGTTTGTATTTTGAATTCTAAGAAATGTTTATGAATAAAACTCAATTATTTTTGTTTGCATTTGCACTGCTGTTATGTATTGTGGATCTATTTTTCCATACGCAGATACAATGATAATTAAAATTCTTTAAATAGCCTCAATACGTTATTCAAATAAACTCGCAGCAGCATCTATGTATACGGGGTGGTAGAGCTTAAAATAAGGCATGGCCTGGAACTGCTACGTCGGAAACAGAAACTAAAGAATTGATGTCACTTATTTGCTTAAATCGCAAATTAACTAAAAATTTAAAAGCAAAGAATGGTCCACATAATTTCATATCTTAATATAGAAAACGGATAGTGATACTACTAAAGATACTAAGGAGAGTGTATGCACTTGAAGGTTGCTAATGTTGGCCTCGACAGCTAAAAATTTAAAAGCAAAGAATGGTCCACAAAATTTCATGTCTTAATAGAAAACGGATAATGATACTTCTAAAGATACTAAGGATAGTGTATGCACTTCAAGGTCTCTAATGTTGGTCTCGTGCTCCAGGTATGCAGAGGAAGAAGAACGTGGCACAGCCTGAAGGAACATTTCAAGAAGAAAATCATACCCGTTTACTTGGAGAACATGAAGATCACATGGGATGACAAGATCAAGCTTGCTTCCAGGTGATTCGCGTATTTTTAATTTAGATTCCATTTATTGAACGAGTTAGGATGTGGATATGGTAGTAAGTAATTTGACGTTCATCAAGAGTAACGTTCAACATTGATTAATACACATATTTAGTTGAGTAACATATATTTAATCGACATGAGATTTATATACCACTTGGTTGCATGCAAAGGTTTTTTTTAGCTTATATGGGCATTCACTAACAAAGTTTCTGGTATTTTTAATTCATGAAAGTCTATTATTATGTTTTGTGTATTCCTGTGTGCATAAAAGATGTTGAACTTGAATTTTTGCTTCTTTGATTTGATGATGATAAATATTTAATTTTCATCCTATAATATCGCTAAGGAACTCGACCATGTTCCAGTTTTGTATAAAACTTGTTTAAGGCCAAGTGCTTGGTGGACAGCTTAAGTATGAATGCACATCAAAAAATTCTTCACTGATTCTTGGTATCCTTTGTATTTGTTTCGGACGTAGCAGTCCCAGGCCACGATGGATCGCCGCCTCTAATAATCGCGCTTCCTCCCTCATTTGGGCCAGCTGATGCACGATGCTGTTGCTTGTTTTTTTTTCTTGTGTCATGGACTTCACACACTAGATAGAACGTTCGCGAAAATTAAAATAGAACACCATTCATGAACAATGAGATTCACATTACAATTTCCAGAACGTCTCATCTAGGACATGAAATTCTAGAAATGGTAACTTTACAGACTGCGTGTTCTGAGAACAGTTATTATTAATGTTCATCAGAAAGTGTAATAACAAAAAACTTTGTAGTGATTTCTTGTTTAACTTTACAGGTTTTCTGGCGTTAAGCAACGTTTTTTGCAACTGAAATCTGTAGCTGACCAAAACGCAAACCCAAATACCGCCCAAAGAGATGAAGTTTCCGTGCGTCCTAAAATCCCGTCTTCCGTTTGCAATGCCGGCTCACCTGCTTCTATATCTCTCAAGAGCCAAACTGATGAATCTCCTTCAAAGCGAGCAATGCTCTCTCACTCGATAGCTCCGTCAGTTTCTGAAGAGCCTTGTTCGTCTGAAGCTCGAGCTAGTGGCTCGAACTCTGCTCCCGATGTGCCGATCTCAACGAACGCAATCCCCTCGTCTTCCCTTATGTCGGAATCTTTGCAAGAACCAGTATCATTCACTCGGGATAGAAGCATAACTGCCGAGACTGAAACGTCACCTGTTTTGAATACGAGCCCGGAAAGGCTAAATCCCAGTCCTTCCCTGCAAAAATCAGTATCATCCACTCGGGATAGAAGCATAACTATCGAGACTGAAAGGTCACAAGGTTTGAATACAAGCCCGGAAAGGTTAAATCCCAGACCTTCCCTTTTAGAACAAATTCCAAGTTCTGAAGGTATTGAATCTGAGACCCACGACTTCAATTCCTCCACGAAAGATGGTCCATGTAATGACACTTACGAACAAGGGACAATTGACCCTAATCGTCATTTGATTGTAGATGCATCGCAAAATGTAAATTCCCAAGAAATTCCTCCTGAGCTGGATTGCACATTTATGTCTTCTTCTTCCAGCGATTTGAATGATTCAGAATCCATGCTCATTCACCATCCAGAATCAGGTCATTCTCGTACTGAAGAACTAATTACTTCTGCTACTAGAGCAGTTGATAGCAAAGTGTGCAGTAGTGCGGATAAGGAAACCCATTCAGCATGTGAAACTATTTCAGCTGCTTCGAATGATTATGTCACGACTGATTGTGGTCCGTCTGAGTCTGTCACGGCTAATTCAGCTGAATTACCAGCTAATCCCTTGCGGGAATTTTCTGATACTCCTTCGCCTCCGCCGCTGAGGGCACCGTCTGCATCACCGGACAACGAATCATTTGCAGTGCAAGAAGAAGATCTCAGCAACTGTAGTGACTATATTGTAAACGAATCTTTTCATGAGGAATGTAGTGAGGAAAATGCTGCAGAACTCTTTCCTGAAGTTCCGTCACGCAAAATGCCTTATTCTGATGTCCAGGAATCAGAGTTGCCACTTGAATCAGCGTCGACTATCGCGGCTCGTGCTATGCCTTATTATTTGAATGCTGCTTCTCCTTTAACCCATTCTGTCGCGGATGCTTCTGCTACGGCTGATCCTGCTTCCGCTGATCCTGCTACCGCTGATTCTTCTACAGCCAATTCTGTAACGGTTGCGTCTGTTGATTATTCTGCTGCATGTTCTCCAAAAAATGATATTTCTAACCTCAAAAGATCTCAGGGAGCAGTTTCTTGTATTAATTGTGCCGAAAGGCCTGCGTTTACCAATAGGGAATGCCTTGCTATGATCGACGCTTCAACTAATACTCAAATTGAATGGCCCTGTGAAAATTTTCAGCGAGACCACACGACCTCAGTGCAGATAGTAGACCGCGTTCCCATTGTTGAAGAGCCCGCGCCCATACATAATGCTATAATCCCTTCAGTAGAATTAGCAGGTGGCTATATGAATGCAGTGCAAGAAGAAGAGGAAGACGAAATCGGCACTGATAGCGAAAGTATGGGAAACGAGTCTTGGGACGAATTTGTTGAGAAACATGCTGAAGAACTTTTCGATGAAATTCCTTCTCGCAGACCACCTGCTGCTGAGAGCCAGGAATCTAGTATTATTTGTCCACCTTCGCTACAGTGCACACCGTACCCTGACTCGCAGTTTTCCGAGCAATTACCGCATGAATTTGCGGATCGAAATATCGGTGAAGAAGACCTCCACCCACTTGAGAGCCCAAAAAGTAATGACGCGGAAGCTTCAACCCGTAACACAGATGCTTTAAATTCATCAATTGTAATGCACAACGAAGAGCATAACAAAAACAGTGACGTTTCAAGTGAAGATCATGGCAAGAATCCTGTTGATTCAGGTGAACCGGAAGCCACTCGTACGTCTTCTTATTCTCCAGATGTCGGAGATAACGACCTCTCTGATGCTCAGAATCCTCATTCTAATATAATTTCTGAAATAGTTCAGTCAGAGAATCGTAATTCATCAGAGACTCCTAGTTATCCTATAAATACTGAAAGTCAGAATGTTTCGCTCTCCTCGCCATCAATTTTGTCTTCAGAACACAACGCACAGGGAGATTTAGATCAACCAAATTCCAGAAGTTCTAATTCAAACATTTTAGGTGCAGTCTCCCCATATCGGGTGGGAATTCCATCTGTGTCATTTTGTGAAACGCCTGCTGAAACAAGTTCAAGCTCTTCATCTCCCGCTGTATCATTCACGAAGAAAATTTGCAGGAGCTGGACTAACGAGTGTTCTAATAATCATCTCGGTTCTGGATCTTCATCAGCCACCAGCACAGTCGATGAATTTCCTTCATGCAGCGCTACCACCCAAGCTGTCCCGCAATTTCTACCGGCAAGTCATGCAATTCCCAGCACTTCAAGGGCTGCGGACGATTCTGATTCCTCACTTGAAGAATTGAGCCAAACCGATTCTTCCGTCAAACTCAGTGTTGTTGCTGATACAACTTCTGGTTGGTGAATTAATTCACGTGCGAAATATTTTAATTGTTTTATTTAAAACTCTGTTCATTTTACTAATGTTATTAATTCATGAAATAGACAAAAGTAAATTAAAGTTTTCCCTGATTCGACGAGACATTTAGCTCGTTTTTAATTGCGTGTATAAATAAATTATATTTCTCTTTGATAATGCACTGAATACTTATGAAAAAATTAGCATTTAGTTTAGAAGGCCTTGGAATATGTTTTCGTTAAGCTTCATTTGCTATAGCCTGGAAAATTTGTCGAGTTAGCGGTTTATTCACTTGAGAAATTAAGTTTATTTGTTTGTACCAATTCATCTATTCTTACAGGTTGAAGACAATTCTAGTATTAATTGAATCAAAGAATAACCTTAATTTTTTCTTCTAGCTTCAACCTGGAAGCCGTCAAGTGAGAGCGGTTCTTCAGCATCCATCTCCTCAGTGCCGCGAGTCAAGAGGCGAAAAAGATGGAGAAAATTCACCAAACAAGAGGATATGCTAATCCTTAAGTTTATTCTTGAAACAGGACGACACAGAGAGGTACGTATTTCCGCTTAAATAATTTGCTCATCTTCAATTTCTTCATTGGAACGAGACGACATGAAGAGGGATGGATTTCTCATTCACTAATATGCGCATTCAAAGAAAGGTTCATTTTTCTTCTTATGGAGAATCTAATTAAAAATTTTTCTTGTGCTTCGTATTTAGCCGCTTATTAGGTTATCACTTATATTTTAAATCTTCTTCCGTAGGTTATTATAAATCATTAAAGTAATTCGTTTAAGTAAAAAATAGACATCTTGAACAACTTTTGCTTACGACATATTGAACAACTTTTGCTTACAACATCTTGAACAACTTTTGCTTATGACATCTTGAACAACTTTTGTTTACGACATCATGAACAACTTTTGCTTATGACATTTTTAACAACTTCTGCTTATGACATCATGAACAACTTTTGCTTATGACATTTTTAACAACTTCTGCTTATGACATCTTGAACAACTTTTGCTCACGACATCTTGAACAACTTGTGTTAACAACGTCTTGAACAACTTTTGTTTACGACGTCTTGAACGACTTTTGTTTACGACGTCTTGAACAATTTTTGTTTACGACGTCTTGAACAACTTTTGTTTACGACGTCTTGAACGACTTTTGTTTACGACGTCTTGAACAATTTTTGTTTACGACGTCTTGAACAACTTTTGTTTACGACGTCTTGAACAATTTTTGTTTACGACGTCTTGAACAATTTTTGTTTACGACGTCTTGAAAAATTTTTGTTTACGACGTCTTGAACAACTTTTGTTTACGACATCATGAACAACTTTTGCTTTTGACACATTGAGCAACTTTTGTTTACGACGTCTTGAAGAACTTTCGTTTACAACATCTTGAGCAACTTGTGCTTACGACAGGTTGGGGCGAAGAACATGTGGATGCACATGGTGAGTGAGGAGAGGGGCCTGCGTCACCGGTCGTGGCACAGCGTCAAGGAGCGCTACAGGAAAATCATCATCAACAACATTGAAGATTACGACATTGAGCCCGACGAACGTGCCAGGCTTGAACGTGAGTAAATCAAACTTTTTGCCTCAGTTGTTGTTGTAATTGCCCATCCTGGTAGTGGCGACTAGGGAAGAGGGGGGTGATAGGTCAGTTTTTCCGGACACTTGTTGCTACTGGTAGTTCTACTACCATCACTGGCTCGCTACGATATCACTGCCTCAGCGGCATTATGGTGATGGTATCATGACTTAACATCTTGTTAACGAATTTAACATGTCGTAATTAACTTCTTATGACAATCGTTAACGTTATTACATATAAATATTTATGTTTTGATTTTACCTCCTTGATCCGCGAAAATTTTTAAATTTGCGCGGAAGAAAGATAAAAATTGTTAAATTATTTTCAATTTGCTACAGGAGTTGATTTAGCCTCAGTTTGGCAACCACTGCCTTGGAAAATCAATCGCGATTAGCAGGAACTCTTGAGCTAATAAGTCCTCTCCTTAGTTAGCTGTGCTTCTTTACCTGCATTAACACCAAGTGACAGAGTGTAATAAGTTGGTGTTTTCTTATTCAACTTTTAACTGTTATGTAAGGTCAAAAAATACACTTATACGGCTACAGTACTTAGACCATAATAACTTTCTGTGTTTTTTATTCTAACTCTTGTTTCAAGTGTTTTTTTATTTCACATAGCTAATAAACTATTCTAGCTATCCGCGCAGTTTGATCAACAATTTTAGTAAATTATTGTCAATAAAGTGAATCGATTTCCCTAAACTTTGAACATTTTTTGTAAGTGTACATTTTTTCTACCATAGCGGCCAAGCCACGCACGAGGAAGCACAGCCGTAACCGTGGCCCTTCCCAGTCAAGACGAAACCGAGAATTTAATCCGCCTGAAAATCCTCATTTGCAATCTACAAGAATTGACAGCAGTCAATCTTGGCCTACAAGAAAATCGAGTTTCTTCTCCAAAATCGAGAGTGCCGGAGCCATGGATGATCGTCGTCCTTTAGTGGTCAGTGACAGCAGCAGCAGCCATGAAAATGATGCGGATTTCCCCCGAAACTCCGCCGCTACGGCGCGCGAAAAAGAGCCCTTGAATATGGACTCCGTAAACGATGGAACAATGAGCGCCCTCCAACGGTCGAATATTCCAAAAATTGGAGCAAAACAACCAGGAGCTGCAAAAGTTTCAGCACCTCCGCAAAAAACGCGTAAACGCGCGCTATTTTCTTCGTCGCCTTCAATACTAACCCCGAGTGGTCAGCCTGAAGAAACGCAAAGTGGATTCATTCCGCGTCTGAGGAATTGTCAATCCTCAATTTCTGAACCTGCTACGCCAAACGTACGGAGAGGAACGCCACTGCTCAAAAGAAAGTCTTTGAAGAAGAAAAAGCTATCCTAGAAAAAACTGGAATATCGAAACTGGACAACTTTTCAAAAGTGGACAAAACTGGAAAACTGGAATATAGGTTACTTTTAATGGAAACGTTCTGTGAAAATACAATAATAATTTAATTAGGAATGGATTTTCTTTCTCTAAATGCCTTTCACCCTTTCATTTTCTAAAAATATTCACTTCGGTTCTGGAGAAGACACTCGAGTGTTATTCAATTGTGTGCTGTCCAAAATATTTTTTGTTAATAATTTTGTTTTGGACTGAAATCTTTATTTTTTTTAGAAAAACAATGGCCATATTCAGGCACGTGTTACCCGGATTTAAATTCAAGTGTCAAGTTTTCCTGTAGTTCCGACTAGTGTTATTTGCTAAGGTTTTGTTGTTCATGCTGCGGAAATTTTATACTGCTTTACTTTTCATTTTATTGCAATGTGCCTGATTAGTCAGTTTGAAGTTATAAATGGAAATAAAGTTATTAACTAGTTTAATGGATTTTATTTGTCCTTCGCAGGAAGAATGTATTCTCATACATGTCTGGTCATTCGCGTTTAGACGCATTTGATCACATTTGCAGTTCTGGGTACAAATAATTAAAGAATTTTGGTAACAATCGAGGCTTTATTTACCATTAATAAATGTGATAATTAACAAACCAATCAAATTACCATCAGAATCAACAACCGCAGAAGAAATATATGCGAATATAAATAACTTAGTCTATGAATACTCGATGGTGAACTGAATGCTTAGCTTACAGCGTGCGTTGACGTATGTAAATCAACATACCAAAGCAATTCACATCGGACGGGCGGCGGCTGTCCAGTCCAAATCTGGCATATACGATACAAAACAGGTCCATAGATAGTAGGTTGAAAACGAAAAAAATATTTGTAATGGTGTAGCTTTTCTTTCAGAATACTCTTAACATAGGTTGCATGCAGCCAACAAGTGGCTTAAATTTTAACTTGTGTATGCTTTTATAAGCAGGGTTGCACAATATCACTGTCACAGTGAGTTATATTAACATCCCAATGCACCAATTTCTATTTCATTCAGTTTGCATTGTTGTATTTAAAGCTCAACAGATGAAACCAAGATTTAACGTCACAGCAGCTGGTCGAACAAGCCGGCAACAAAGGCTCAAGGGAGATGCAAAATCAGTAAATTAAATGACTTCAATTTTATCTGGTTCGAATAATAGCAACTTTTTAGGCCTGCCTTATTTGAAGTAGAATAGAAGAAAACAATTATGGCATATTCAATGAACGCGTTTTCGCAAGCAGATGCAGTGCAAGTTAGTAACGCTGCAGTTGCTTCTGTGACTCATTTCAAAAAGATTACTACATCTGGATAATTACTTTGCTTGGACTCCACCATACCTGCAAACAATGTTTTATGCGGGAAATATAGCTTAGAATCTATTAAACTCCGAGTCTAAAAACACATTCTATTCAATCTTCAATTCTGTCGCAAAACAATCATTCACTTCGATGGCTATCAAGCACGAAAGTTAAAATTCCTTAAAATATTTAGGAGTGTAAAATCTAATCTTATTTATTCGTCAAGGATGATATAATCAAACCTAATCTAATCAAGGTAAGGACCACGAATGCAAGAATTAACAGTAGGACAATCATTAGCAGCAACTGAAACTTAACGTACAAGAAATTTTACCAACAGGAATCGTCGAAGAAGATTATGACACACAACGAACTCAAATAAAATGTAGTCACGTAAAAATCACCTATTACGATAAACTTGTTTCATTATCTAGGAATTCACATCGCCGTGTAAAAATTAGATGCTCCTTTTTTGCCCGGTTACGTCAATATGGACGACTGGAGGAAAATCACACCAGTAAATTGATGGCAACTTAAAAGAGAATGAAATTAGTAAGAATTCTTAGCAGTTATGGGCGCAACTTGTAGAGCAGTTCAGATGAAAAATAATTATTAAGTTTTGATTGAGTACTGTTATGCTGATACTCCTTGCTTAGATTTCTTTAGAAACATAAACATAAATAAATAGAAAACATTTTCTTTAGCTTTGAGTTCTTTTTTGTAATGGTACAACGATACTCAAAAACCGCAAAAGTACTATGAATATAAACTCAAATCTATGACTAAATTTGTAAACTAATATTGTATCGTCAACCTCGCTACGATAAATATGATTAAATTTGTAACCCAAGTAAATGTGAAAGAATGCAGAAGTTATCTAATTCGTTGACAGTCTTCGTTCACGAAAATGAAGCCACTCCGAGTAACCGAACAGGAATAACAAAATTATTATCAACTCTTCACTTTAAAAAAATGAATGCAGATAGTTGGTGAATAGCCTAATAATGAATGACTAATATCAAGGCTGGGCGATATAATCCCGAAATTAGTGTATAACAAGCCAGTCAAAAATTAGAAAATAATTAAATTGTGAAGAAGCTTATGTAAAGATTTACTATTAGGTGATTAAAGCGAATAATTCGAGCAAATAGTAAATTATTCCCACCAAGCACATGACGTTAAAATAACGTTGATTGTTTTTAATTTGTTGAAAATTGTTTCAATCAAATCAATTTTTAATCAACGTTGTTTCAAGGTCATTCGCCTATACAGGGTTGGCAGTTCGTTAACAGTCTTAACTTTAGAATTTGGCTAAGCTAAACGAATTCATAGAAAACGTCAACAAAGTTACATGCTATGTATCAAACTTATTGGAAAAATTCGAAGCAACAGATTATCGTCAATATGTACAGTAAGGATGAAATGTATCATCCGGCTCTAGAAGTTCAACTTCCTATTACAAAAATGTATCCTATTCTTTTCAAGAAGCGTTGACAAAATGACATCAAAATATCAATTTAAAATGCATTTTCTGGGTGCCCTAAATACTCTTATCTACAAGGAGAAAAGAGGAAACAAAAAATTTCCGCGAATAAAAAGAGAGCTGCCGCAATAAAAGCCGAAGCGTCTTAAATTTTGTTCAAAATTATGCGGTTCACGTACAATATCCGAACAATGGAACGCACAACAAATAACAATCTATTATCTGACAAAAAATATTGTCTGGGCAAAAAATGTATTTACTATTTTTGCAAAAGTATCTTCAGTCATAAAAAAAAGGACGAAGCAAAGTAAATATTATGAAGATTAGAAGATTGACTATTGCTATGTTTTTTTTATTCAAGACGATACCTGGAGATGGAACAAAATTACATTTTTTCTTATATGAACATGTTAGTGAATTTCTCGTAGTTCCGAAAGATGATAGATATGATTCTAGTTAAAATTTCAAATAATTCGTGGAACAGGAAGCGTTTTCATGCATACTGAATAACAAGAAAACACAGCGTCAAACTCTAGCTTTTCAAGACAATAAGTGGATAGTCGAACCCATGGTTGAAGGTTCATTCCCAGGAAACGGTATGATCCGTTTCCGGAATTTTAATGACCATTTTTATCATTTTATTATTTTCTCAAAAGTTTCAAGCATAGAAGCTCATTTTTGCGGATGTAGTTCGTTGCTCGTCTGTGACGTCACTGATCTCAGTGACGTCACGGGCATTAACCAATCGCATAAATGCGATCAAACCAGTCAACCAATCCGTCATGGGAATGACGGGTTTGTTTACGTTTCTCGATCTCAGTGACGTAACAAGAAAGCTGAACTGAAAGACGGAAATTCTCGTGGGTCAACCTTGTATAATTCAACCATAGTCGAACCAGTCTACCATACAAGAATAGAATAAAACATTTGAAGCAAGAATCTATCAAGTGAAAGAGAAATAGCCTGGCAGCACAGTTAGTGCAAAGGACGGTCACATGACAATGAGAATAAGATAGAAGATAACTATGAATAAATAAGCAACAGACGATGGTCGAAGACTGCAGGATAATTGTCTGTTAACAGGTTCAGTTCGCAACTTAATTTTCAACGTCCCCCGAGCCGTTGTTTATTTCTAAGCTAAATTATTTCGCACGCGCTGCTACTGACATTAGGACTATTGGAAGCATAAAAGGTAAATGGGCTTTAATGTTTTACAGGATGGGGCGTTGAAAGCGCAATCAAAGTGTTCTCGGGAAGAGTCTACGTAGCTGCTATATTTTCACGAGTTGTTTTTACAGGTTTCATATCAAGCTGATGCTACAAGACATCGTACAACTATTGAACAATTTACATGCAAGATCCTCGCATGAAATGCACAATATATAAATCACCCAGTATGATAACTATTTCCATTAGAAAACTTAACGGCGCTCTGATCAAGCTTTCATAAATGTCCAATGTTACAAAACACATTAATTATTTACGCACGAATGTTTCCATTCAAATATACACATCATTGTAGTTTTGTTAGATTAGGAACACTCCGATGTCAATAATTATTTTTCTTAACGTAGTGAAGTTTAAAGCCGGGTAGAAAATTGAGGCTTTTGTAAACAAATAGTTGAAATGACATAAGACTCGTGTATATAAGTTGTTTTTACTAATCCTGCATAATTTAATTTAATTTTACGAGACATAAGCTAATGAGACTGAGAGAAGCCGATAACACTAAGCTGGGGGTTCCTCGAATCATGAAAGTCACCTGAAAAAGCGCCATATTCGAAAGCTTTAAATGAATTTCTTCTTGAATCGGTATGCTTTAATCGTATTTTTCCTCATTTGACATACTCATACGTCTGTTGCAAAATACATAATTGGAGGATTAAGGTAACAGCATTGCGTTTGATCTCTCGCTTAATATATTTTATGGGTAATCCAGAACATAGAATCGGTTAGTTTATCATGATGCATTCATCGCAAGCGCCTTATTTACTTAATAACGACAAACATTTGAGCATATGGCTATGTAAACCTGAAATCGAATGCAAGAGACAGAGTGCAAGACCGATAAACAGTAGCCTTAAGGGACAGCTTTATACCAACTCAGTTACACGCAGCGAGATAAATAGCCAGACTTGGATAAATTTACTTATAATTTCGTTAATGAGATATATATTCTCATACTAATGCAAAGTTACGCAAGCTAATACAGATACAGGGAACAAATAACGAGTTTGATTTATCATCCATGATTAATTTAGCAATTTTTTAGGGTCTAACGAGCAGAAATACGGAAGATGGTGTGATTTTCTGCACTCTTTGAAGACCATTTTTATCATTTTCTCATTTTCTCAAAAGATCAAGATGCATTTTTTCTACAATCAACTCCAAAATTCTCATTTGTCGGCAGGCCCTAAAGCTGAATAAATGATTAAATATCACCAAGCTGATCAAATAAGTGATGATTGGAAAAATAAAAATATCAATTCTATTTAGCGAAACCTTCAAGCAGTTGAACCGAAATTTGAATTTGAACCGGAAACCAACGAAATAAAATAGTCTAGCCAAGAATCTTGATTCGCATCTAGGAGCAATGAGAAGCAATGATAAAAGTACAGCAGCGAAGATTTGGAAGAGAATCGGTGAAGAGAAGCTTTATTTAAAAGCGTGATTCATAAATGGCTAATATTCATCATAGATAATACTTATTACAGACAGGCTTAATCATAGCGTGCCAACAACGATGTTACTTAATACTAAATCTCTGGTTACATTATCAATCGACGAGAACGGTGGCGCCTAACAATAGTTTGACAGAAATTACGATTTACTATTTGCATGTACATTAATAATAGATAGGAGGTGAAATAGGCAACAGAAGATAAATTAATATGGAACTTGTCAATGCCACAATGAGCAACGAAAATTTCGCGACAAGTTAGTTTAGTTTTGTGGCCAAATTTTTACTAGCGCTTTAGCTATTAATTAAGCTATCTCGGACAGAAAGTCAAGATGAACATCACCAACGAGGTGGAAGGTCTTAATTATTGAAAGTTTCTTAAATCAAACAATCATTCATCACCCACAAGGGGCGGAAGGTCTCAATTGTCCAGCCCACTGAAGCTGGCTCGAAAGAAGCAGCGTTAGCATCTCAAAGAGACGAAGTGACAAGGAGGGTTTCGTGAAAAACATTTCAGCGATGGCACACAACTGTTATAAAATTTAAATTCTTCCAAAGCAAGGTGGAAGTTATGAAAGTTATCAAGTGCTCATTTGCACACCTTTAAGTGAACACATCTATAAAGGATTATGTTGAATTAAGTAATTCGTTATTTTATTGACCAGTATAAAGTTAGATAATAACATACAATATACCTCAACCTCACGCAAATCAGCATATATTTAAAAGATACTTTATTACGGCAAATTTCGAGTCGAAATTTGCTTTTGTTCTGTCAGCTCTTTATTTCGACGCACATTAAATATTCGACATACACGAGTATATTTAACAAAAATCGATTTCTAGCTCGACATGATTAATGGTTGGCAGTCATAGAGGGCGGGAGTATAGCGGTACGAAAGACTATGCCAACGGTATCCTCAGAACTACAAAGGCATGCTTATTCATAACCATGCATTTCATGCAATAGAATAGCCTTCACCGATACTCCTCTTATCGTTATCAAATAGTGGCTGAGCTGGTCTACTGAAAACGTCTTGTCATTAAAATCGTCACGATAGATGAAATAAAGATTGTAAATATATATATATTTTTTTAACCATAATTTTTTAATTTCGTAGTGTATTACGAGACCATTTACCCATCTAGGTCGAGGAGTTTGGCAGTTAGCTTGGATTAAGTCTGGGTAATGTCGAACAAGACTTATCTATTGTATCTGAACTTTACGACTCACCGAAAACTATTTCGGTTATGACGTTTCAAATCAATATGCATTCTTCTAAGCGTTGAAAAATATCTTTTCGCTTTATAATTCAGATTTGGTTTCGAATATGTCAAAGAAACATCGTATCACAAATAAATTCGAATAACTACATATTTTCTCGCAAATAAATATTCGTTTAAAGTCACATATTTTTTTCTTGTAACACAATTAACACCATTAATATTAAATTAACCAAATCTATAACTAGAAACGAATCAGAATGCCTTAGGATTATGCTATATAGAATTAGTTTAGAGCATGAATTTATTCATGTAGTCTCTAGCTAATAATTCGGCGAGCATTGCGATTATAGTTCAACCTTGACGCTCTTAAGAAGAGAACTTAACAAATGATTGGAAGATCATCACTCATACTAATGTATTATCTTCCACGTAAATTCGGAACTTCCAGTTGGGATGAATATTCTAAACTAATAAACTGTGGAACAAACAAGAACTCAATAAAGCACGTTAGGGCATAAAACACATCCTAATTAACATGTAGGGGTATCTTAGCAGTTAACCTATAAGCTTGGCAGCATGATTCCTAAATATCATTGGATATTAACGCGTGCACAGCACGGCGCGTCGTACAGATTACGCAACTTCAACAAGGAAATTTTTTAATCGCAACTCTAGCACTACATTCGAGGAAGCTTTGGCAGGGAACTCGATATGGAACTTCTATAGCTACGTCCTACAAAATTAGAAAAAGATCTAAATGCATTTTGATGCAGTCTTATTCGCGATTTGATTAACATTTGTTCGTTATGTCTTTAAAGAATGAATTGGCGATTGAAGAAAACAGGAAAGATAAGTATAGGTAGATACAGAAATACAGGAAAAAACATGGTACGTATTTGTGCTTGATAAGAAATACTAGGTATTAGAATAGAGCGAAATAAAAAACATGATAGTGTCGGCAAAAAGATAATGAACTGACGATCGATTTTTTTTCCGAAGCTATCAACATGAAATATGACTCAATAGAAGCGAGAGCAGAGCAGTTATTATCACGATCGATGATGCAGTACAATGATAGATGTGATGTTCGTTAGAAGAGTGCAGGTCAGTGATAACAATGATAGTGATGGACATTATGTGATGATGCAGCAAGAGACTAGGTGTGATGCCAGGTCGCTAGAGGGACATATTATATAAATTAAGTACAATACTAGAGATGATGTTGGATTTTTAAGCGAACAAAATCCAATTCGGGTACATCATGTTGCAACGATTCGATGTCTGGTCAGGTTTAATAATATCTGTAATATATTCAAAGTTAGAAACATAATATCAATTTTGCTATGAAAGATTAGTTTTGAAAGTTTACGGTTTGCACACGTATAAACAAATTCTCCTGTTCTCGCTGTTATAGCGACACAGATATGACAATGACAATTAAAAATTTTTTCCCACTTCATTTCTTTATCGTTTATTTCTAACAAGAGTTGCCAGTATTTTGTACCGCAAGCAAAGGAGACTCCAACATCGTGTGAATATCATACACGGCTGCAGTTTAACAATCTCAAAAAATCGTATTTTTAAAACTATCGTCATAATCAACAATTTGAGAGTGGAAAGAACAACTCGATTGGTGTCGCCAGCGATGCAAAACTAAGGCCAGGTTTCAAAGTAACCTCGTTTATGATGATTTATTTAATTGAAATTTTCGCTCACTAACTACAGTCAAGAAATAGCAGGCAAATATCTAACACAGCACCACGATGTGATGATTTATTTCCGGATACATTTCTTACACCATCTTTTTTATTCCTTTGTGGCCGTTAAAGCATATCATTGAATTCTCTGTCAACGGAATAACACCAAAAAAAAAAAAGATTGACAATACTTGAAATCAGTTTACACTTTTAAGCATTAAAAGTTATCAACCGGTTATTATCAACCGGAACAAAATTTATCAAGGTTAGAAATTTGAGACGAGTTCAAAGCGATATTTGTGCACTGAAGGAAGTTCTTTGGGGGCGATCAATGTTGCAATACTCTCAATCAAAACTCACAGGTCGGAACAGCAACATTGCAACCGATAAGATGATATTGCCAAGAACGTAAAAGAATAACCACATTATGTTGACCACAAAAAAAAAATAATAGGTACATCACCAGCCTTTTACGGTTGCAGCGATCGTAACGAATTCTAAAAGAATTTCATAAGAAATAGATGTTTCAGTGCTTGATCTTGAGCAGACTCTTGAGCTGATCCTGCAGCACCGAGAAAGTGCTCGACTTCAAGGGACTTTGGGCGGCATCCTCTGCGATTATTTTAGCAAGCCTCTGAGGCGGGAGGTTGAGGGCCAAAGGGTCCCTAAGACGCCGCAGGTCTGACTCAAGGGCGTGAAGGCGGTTCTTGAGGCTGTTGTAGTTATCCACGTCCATGCCTGTCTTGCGCGCCTTGCGGTGGAACCCAAGCAAAAACTGACGGTCGCGGACCTCCGGTAGCAGGAAGTCCTGTGAAAATAAATAAACATGAACGAAATAGAGATTTATGGCAGAGATGATGAGATCCACTGGGAACCCACATGAACGAAATAAAAATTCATTACAGAGCCCAGCTTGGGACAAGTGAAATTGAGGGACGATGTAGTTGAAGAGGTTCAACATGTAACAGATAAGAAATAATTTGGTTTGCAACTGGAATAAATAGAAATGAACTCGAAATGTTGTATTTAATTCGAAAAAAGTCAGAACAAAGACGAATTTAATAAATTTAAGAATGACTCCTTCATAAAGATGAAATACTTTAGTAAAGAAAGTCTTCGGTGAAAATCGTCCTTGTGGAATTCAGCTTATTTGGGGAATAGAAACGAATTAGCTAGTGAATTATTGAAATACAATTTATTAACAATCTAACACTGGTTCCTATAATAGGCAAAAATAATATTTTTTAAGATATAAATACATTTGTAACTGAGGTAAGTGCAGCTGTACAGTATACTGCAAATTTAAGGGATAAAAGACAAGAAGCACAAGACACAGGCGCCTTTAGTTACAACACTTTTCTTTAAGTTAACTTCTTGTTGTTTGTTTGTCTGCTACAAATCTTATAATCGATATTTAACACACTTCTCCCTGTCCAATCGATCTGAAATTTCGCATAAAATTGGAGACAATGCTAGAATCAATTGACAGAATAAATAATTAGAAATTTTTTCTTATATTAAAAAAATTGTTCAAAAATTTCTTTTAATATAAATAAATAAGATAAGAAATTCATTGTACATGTGTAACATCAGAGACACTGACCTCTTTAGAAGTGTTGTCTTTAAAAAGTAACTTTTAAACGCATATTTTTACTTCAAGGCCCCCCTACGTACGTGTTTGGTAAGAACGTAGTAAGCGTAGCAAGCCATGGCAGTGCCGTACGTCACAAAATACGTATTTTTACACGCATATTTTTACTTCAAGGCCCACTACGTACGTGTTTGGTAAGAACGTAGTAAGCGTAGCAAGCCATAGCAGTGCCGTACGTCACAAAATACGTCACAGGCTCCATGATGTCCCAGGAATACTCCCACCAAGTGAGACGAGCGAGGAACCCAAACTGCAGCGCCATGTAGCCCAGGCCTGCGTACATGAGCACCGTGGCGCGACGCTCCGCTGCCGCTACTAGCTTCGACCGTTGCTGTGAATAAAAAAAAACAGTTTTGGTTTTAACTGAATATCAAGAGATAATTGCGTCTACCAGCTTGGACGGTTGCTGTGAAAAGACGAGATTTGGTTTTAACTATGATGAATAAATATATTTTTGCTAGCAGCTTTGACGGTGGCTGAGGAAAAAACCCGAGTGTTGGCTTAAACTAAAAATCAATAACTATATTGCGGCTACTAGCTTGGACAGTTGCTGTGAAAAAATACGAGATTTGGTTTTAACTAAATATCAATAAATATATTGTTGCTACTAGCTTGGACCGTTGCTGTGAAAAAATAACGAGTATTGGTTTAATCTAAATATCAAGAAATATATTGCGTCTACCAGCTTAGACCGTCGCTGTGACATTACTCAAAAGCTGGTCTTGATAAATTGCAAATTAAAAATTGCGATAAAAAGCACGAAGAGTGTCTTTGAATAAAACAAGCGATCTACTTTCTACAAAACATGATATACGCTTCCATCTAATGACAAGTAGAGCTTAGAACTTATTGTTAACGCAATCTGCTTGTGGAATTGTTGTTGCAACTCCAAGCATGGCGTTAGGATTATTGAAATAGAGTGGGAAAGAGTAGGGTAGAAATTCAATTTTGTCAAATTAATAATGATTGCGTTGGTTTTAATTACATTGTAAGAACTTATTGCAAATATTTATAGGTACCTTCAGTTGAACCTTCATCATGGAACCAAGCACTGGTCTTTAGATCTGAAATCCTACGCTCAATCTCTGAAATCTGAAGCAAATTAGAACTGAAATCATTATACATCAATTTATGGCTGCAGGAAATGACAATGCATTTATCGAAATATTCGTAATCACCTTTTCTAGGGGAATAAGTTGCGTCCTTATTTCCTCAATTTCCTGCATAATGTCGCGTTCTCTGGCCACTTGATGCTCGTCAACGTGCAGGGCTGCGTACAGTTTGTTGACCAATTGACGCACGTCTGACAAGTCGGTCAGCTCTTCCTGTCAACACAGCCAAGTAATAAATAACAGTTTAATGAAAGAAAAAATATAACTCAGTAGTCGCTGCAGTGAGTGACAGATAGCGCATTTTTCCGTCGACGAAAACGTGAAGTCACCGACGGACGGACAGACAGACGAACATGGCGAGCACAATAGTGCATTTTTTCCATACATGAGAAAATGCGCTAAAAAGACCTGAGTCATGTTACATATTTTTGGAAATGCCAATATTCATCCAATCTAAAACTATAATCTAAATCACGACAAGTTTTAAAGTATTCTTAAAATCGACGAAAACGTGAAGTTACGAACGGACGGGCGGACGGACATGACGAGCACAATAGCGCCTTTTTTCCGTAAATGTGAAAATGCTCTAAAAAGAATAAAACAACAGCCAGATAAAGAAATAAACAACTATTTCCGTAGCCAGTATGTCACTTCACACAACTCAGCAGTTAATATCCATCACGCTACATAAATAAATGCATTTCACTCCAACATGCCAAAACTAAGTACATTTCCTCCGAGAACATCCAACTTTTACGGAATGTTGAGGATATAACAAAAATATCAATCAACTGCGTCTGAGATGGACCAGAAAACTATACCGTAAGTTGATATTCATGCGGCTATTTCAAGTCCCGCACCAATAAGAACAAGAACCTCTGTTTTATTATTCAATTGAATTAGAAGCAATCATCGTGACAGTAGCAGCGAAGTGTCAGCATGACAGTTATTTACTGGTCATACTGGCACCTGTTTATTGGTCAGCTATTGGTCAGCCATTGGTTAGCTATCGGTTAGCTATTGGTCAGTTATTAGTCAGCCATTGGTCAGCTATTGGTCAGCCATTGGTTAGCTATCAGTCAGCTATTGGTCAGCCATTGGTTAGCTATCGGTCAGCTATTGTTCAGCTATTGGTCAGCCATTGGTCAGCTATCGGTTAGCTACCAACAGTTCGTATGATTACCCGGTTGTACTAAACTAACATTTCAGGAGAAAAAAACAAGGAAAAGAAGAAATTTACGACAACGCACCAACAGTCCGTACGAGCACCCTATCAATGCCCCGATCTTCGGCCTGTAGCTGCTGTACGAGGGTGTCGACGGTGTGGGTGACCGGGCGCAGAGGGAAGCGACAGAGTTCTCTTCTAGAGGGCAGCGGTACAGTGAGGTGGGGCAGTCCTTGCTCGAATGTCAGCACCACCGAGTCTGTGCTTTGTCCTGTAAGTCAAAGAATGCATTTAATTCCATTGTAGTCAATGATTAACTATTTACGATGAATAATATTTATATCCTAAAAAAATCATGTACTTCAGTGGTTCCCAAAGTGGGCGACATCGCCCCCCTAGGGGCGGTGGAAAAATTTTGGGGGGCGGTAAGGAAGAAAAGGGCGGAAGGGGGGCGATAGGTGGGCGGCAGTCCGAAGTCGAAGTCAGAAGTTCGAACGTTTGTTTGACGATTTGTACACAACACGTGCAGCACTTGACTCTCAGCAATGTTTTTTTCACCCAGATCTGTTTTTTTAACCTCTCGTTGGATTACGTCTCAGACAAATTAATAGCCGGACTCGCGGCCGGTCTCACAGCCAATTTCCAAATTCAACGATCAAGGGTTATGTCTCTAACAAACTTAACTCGATGAAACTTGGTAACATATTCATTAGGACCTATCGGTAATGTTTAGCTCGTGAAAATTTTTTTAATTTGGCCTTCATTTGTTTTTGCCATAGTTATATGGCAATACGGGCCGAAATTCAGTGATCAAGGAATTTCTTCCAAACTACTGAGAAGATTTGAACGAAATTTTGAATTTACAGTCCTAACTACCGTCCTACCGAACGGTAATGTTTAACTCATGAAAATTTTTTCGATTGAGCCTTCGTTTGCGAGTTTTTTTTTTCATTCCACCTTCATTCGTGATTTAAACAGTAAAACGTGCTTAAATTCGCAGTAATCAAGAAATTTCTTCCAAACTACACAACAGATTTCAACGAAACTCGGTATTTTAAATACCTAACCTTAGCAAAAGTGACGTTTAGTTCGTTACAATTTTTTCGATTTTGCCTTCGTTTGCGGGTTTATACGGCTATACGTAAACGGCTCTTGGTTAAACCGGTCGTTTCTCCTGTATCTGCATAACTCGCGAACGAAAGCAAACTAGAAAAATTGTCGCGAGTTAAACATCACCGTTGGGAGGTTAGGTCTTTATATACAAAGTTTCGTTGAAATCTGTTCAGTAGTTAATTAGAAGAAATTTCTTGATCGCCGCGAATTTAAGCGACAAATTGCCTAGCGATACGGGCCGAATATAAGGAAGTATGAAATCAAGAATGACGGTGAAATGAAAAAAAAAAGAAACTCGCAAACAAAGGTAAAATAAAATAATTTGTAGAAGCTAAAAAATCGACGTTTGGTTGGAAGAAATTCTTTGATCACTGCGAAGTTCGGCTTGTATCGCAATATAACTCACGAATAAAGGTGAAATTTAAACATTTTCACGTGCTATATATATAAACATCACCGTTAGGTTCTGATGACTACATGTTCCAAGTTTCATAGAGCTGCCTTCATTAGTTTGAGAGATATTACTTGATGATTGAATTTGGAGATTGGTCGTGAGACCGGCCACGAGTCCGGCCGTGAATTTGCCCGAGACGTCCTAGGTTGCTAGTGCTGATACAGTTAAAACAGCATAAAAACATATTGGTTCACTAAATGGGGGTTCTATTTGTCAAATACACATCTGTGTTTAACCTTTATCTTTTGAAATTGCAGCGTACTAAATTTCAAGAGAGAGGCGTTTGTTTTTATATGTGTTTGTGGGGGGCGCTAGAAATTCACTAGGGAGCCAAAGGGGGCGCCAGCCTGAAAAAGTTTGGGAACCCGCTGATTGTACTTTAATTTCTAGATAAAAAAGAATAATATTTACTTCCTACAACGAAAGGAAAATCAGCTATCTTAATTTCTAGATAAAAAAAAAGCTTTTTTTTTAAAGCTACAAATCTGTTTTAATTAAACACGTCATAGAATTTAAATTGAATTTTGAGAAAAATGGAAGCCAGTGAAATCAAATTCAAATTAATTAAATCACTGTAAATTCTTCTGGTTAAAGCCTTCAGAGACAGGTTTGACATTAAATTTTGTTAAAGTATGGTATTAGTTCCTTAAAACATTTAATTATATAAAACAGCACAGAAAATTGAGCAAAAAAGTTTGATTTCGAAATTTTAATACATGTTAAGTATAACATATTTCCGAACACGCAGTACAATCGCATTTGGAAACAAGAGATAATAGGCCACCAAATTTTATCCGTGGTGCACACGTTCGATATCATAAATTCTTACTGCTGAAACTACCATATGCTACTGAGCAATTGCCTGTCCCATTTTTAGATGTAGCTGGGTATCATGGTGGGCTTATATAGCCATATAAATATTTATTGGAACTAAAGAACGCAACGAGGTAGCTTGATAATACTATAAAAAATGTTATAATTTCATTGCGGCGATCCATCGTGGCCTGGGGCTGCTACGTCCGAAACAAATACCAAGGATACCAAGAAACGCATTGCCGCATTCGCATGAACATATTGCACGATAACAATGATGGCGGGGCCAACAATGTTTGAATTTCGTTGCAACAATCGCCTCATTGTTGTCTTCGTAACCGCTGCCAACGCGGATACTGAACATGAAACAATTCAACATGTTTACCTCTATTGCGCCGTAGCCTGCCTTCCATTGTTAATGCGGATGATGAACAAATAAGAAAAATATTTATGTTTGCATAGCTGTGAGGAGACTATAGGAAAACCGTAGCATGGCTGACACGTCATGAATGATTTTTTTGGCAACGTTTAACTCATGTCAGCAAAACAATAAAGTCACCCAAGAACGTCAAACAAGGTTTTAGTTGAGGTTTCCATTAGGAAAATTGCAAGACTGCATATTGTGCAAGCTACCGAACCCCAACTTCGACGCTCAAGCCACTCGATGTATTGAGTTTTTTTCGAGGTGACATTATCTCATTCACAGCAAGAATAAGGGATATTGACTCCATTGCTACATGTATCAGCATAGGTTTTAGAAATAAGCCGCAATGTATGTACAAATACTACGAAATAAATGAGGTTTATCCGGTCTGCAAATGAGCATATCAGCGAAATCAGCAGCAATGTATGTTTAAAAACTACGAAATAAATGAGCTTTCTGCAACTGAACATCTCAGATGAGGGAGAATGAGAACAGAACGAACGAGAAGTAAGTAATGGAAGCAGCAGCAGTCACCGTGTGCATCACAGGCAAATAATGAGGACAGAAGTTTAGAAAATAGAGGAGAAAAAAGGCAACATACACATAGAACAGTAATTGGGAGCAGCATTGTCATCGTACGCGTCCAAAGCAAATCAAGACGACAGAAGATAATAAAGTGAAGCAGAATAAAAAACTATACACAGAAGAACGTAATTGGGAACAGTATTGTCATGACGCGCAGCTCGTGACAACAGCACCTCATAACTGGGAGCAGAGATGAGCACGGATGCGCGACCATATAAACATGTATGTGTGTAAGTTTGATTGTAGACCAGAGCATGCTTTTTATTAATAATCTTCTTGTTTTTTTTTTTAATTCAATTTCGTTTCAATTTTTTTTGGTAACCTGCTTTTTGATCTCACAGCGACAGCAAGAAATTTTATTCGAATCATTGAAAAAACGACCAAGATAGTTATTAATAAAAACCTGCTCCGGCCTTCAATCAAACATGCATAAAAGAAAAGCTTCTGCCGAATTACACCAATGTATGTATGTATGTTACCTAACACGTGGCATTTATTTAAGGTTGCATTCTCAAATTTCTAAGGCGAGTTCAAGCTTGATGAAATATGCAGATACAGTAAGATTATTTAACGTAATAAATAAAATTTTGACGATTTCTTTTGAATCAATGAGAATGTAATAGCAATACAGTTATTTTGATAAACTGGGACTTTTTGTTGCAGAGAATCGTACATCTACGATTCCTCCAAGAGCAAAACGCTCATTGAGCTAGAGGCAAAATTATCACTTTTCACCCCAACAAACGTCCTGCAGCTCATTAAAACTGTGCAGTATAGCACTTCGGTAGAGTTTAGCAGGTTCTCTGCACAATTGTGAAAGCACCTTGGCTCAGTACAGGAGCACAATGGCCCAATTTAGCAGGTTCTCAGCACAATTTTGGCAGCACCTTAGTCCAGTACAGGAGCACAATGGCCCAATTTAGCAGGTTCTCAGCACAATTTCGGCAGTAACTCAGTACAGTTCAGGAGCACAATGGCCCAATTTAGCAGGTTCTCAGCACAATTTCGGCAGTAACTTAGTACAGTTTGGCAGGACATGTGCTCAATGAGACAGACCGCGTAGCAGGCGCGCATATACAGCCAACGCCCATACCACCACACCAGAGGCCAGCTCAACAAATCATGCGAAAGCTACAGAGATATCCATCACGTTGACGGATTTCACGAACACAATCCTGCCTTTAGCTTTAAATATATCTAAGATATCTGATGTAAATATCTAGACAATAATATTTATTTTTCAATATTTGTTCGTAAATTCAAGAATTTTTATGAACGAAAATTCACACATCTTCCCACAGTTGGTCCCACTTGATTGAAGCTCTGTTTTAGTGTAACGTGTTTGACAAAAGCATACTTGTAAGTTTAAATAATTTTACATTCATTTATTGTCATATTTTTATTGTTTCTGCATTGTCATATTTTTATTGTTTCTGCAATTATTTTTATTTACTGTTAAATACAAATAACAATTCATTTAAACATCTTGATTTGAAATGGAGTTATATTCTAATTGAACCAATTAGAATATAACCAATATAATTAGACAATTATATATAACCAATATAATCAATATTGAACCAATATAATATAATTGAACCAATTAGAATATATTAGAACCAATTTCAATAAGGAAACAAATAACCATAAACCAAATTCATTTCAAACAAACAGCCACACAAGAGCACTAATTGTTAACGGGATAATAGTTTTCAGAGCATCAGCCTGACTAGGTTAACACATAACAGACGAGACAATGTTCCCGTTCCATGGACGAACAAAAGAATCTAGAATAGTTTAGAGTAATGTGTTATTACTCATACGTATGACGAACAGTAATTTTTATCCTTGGACTGCATAGGACGAATGAGCATCGCGTGAGTACAGCTCCACACGCATGACAGTGATGGGATGCGAGTTGACCGCTTTAGAAAATAGTGAATTCCGGTCGTCCAGTGTTCAGTAGCCGCTTGGCTTTCGTGAGGTGCAGATGTTATACAGAGCGCGACTGGATAACGCCCGACGTGACCGAACAACACGGTTCGTGAAAAATATCCACCCTTTTTTTCTATTGGCATAAAAATAGTCCAGCTTTTGTTTAGAATTAGTTGACGAAGGTTTATAAGAATAGTCAACGTTATCTCTATAGCATATTCATTTATAGAAATGAAAAGATCAAGGCATATTAACAAAACAAATTTGTGGATTCTTTTATAAATTATTCATTATATGTACAGGAACTATTATTCAGGATAATTATATTATATGTATTATATTATATGTACAGGAACTATTAAATCGTAAAGATAATATTATATTTTAAATTTGAATATAAAATAGACAATATTTAATTTCAGCGAGATCGTCATGAATTTCCCCCGCTACGTCGAATCGTAGGACAAAATCCAATAGAATAGTTTTTAATTATAAATTATTATTAACCCAACATATTTTCGCTATGCTGGCGTATTTCATGTACGTAATGTATTTGCATCAAAAGAAGAATGTCATTATTCGCATAAACACATAAAATGTAAATTAAATTTAGATTTATTGTAGAGATTAACGGCTGGGTCACTCATTTGCATTAAAATTAGACCATTTTTATTTGCATAAACACATTAAATGTTGATAGATTCTAGATAAGTTGTAGCGATCACCGGCTACGCTGCTCAATTTACTAACTGCATCGTTATAGAATCTATGTTAAATTATAAATTACAAGTATAAATATCTCGTGATCAGTTAATTGTGTAGACATCCGATTGATTTATTGTCGAACATTTGCCTGGATTGCATTTCAAACGAAATATGAAACAACTCGTAAAAGCAATATTCTTCGGTACACTTTAAATTAGTAGGTACTGTCTTAAATTTGCTTCAAACGTTTTGCACTCAAATTTTATATTACGCTTTCAGCAAAATCCTCTTTTAATCTTCATGTTGTTTGACGAAAATAACAAGCGCCTATCTATCCAAATCGGAAACTAAAAGCCAAGTATTTTAAACAAAAATTGATCTCTTTTCTGTGTAAATTCGAATCAGGAGAGTTTTGAATCCTATAGCATGACTGCATTTGAAGGCTGAAAAATTCAGGTCGCAATAATATTAGGTTACACAAAATAAATGGAAATTTTTCACCGCGTGAATGTATATACCAGTAACTGGAGGAGCAACTAAGTGACTGTAGTAAAAAAATCTGATCAAGATGTTCGAAATTTTAGACGCAAGAGCGGGAAACATGAAAGGCATCATATATAGAATATATAAGGTAATATAAAAATAATATATAGTAAAAAATAAAATACATAAGGTAATATAATAATAATATATAGTATAAAAAGGTATTCTATGTAGCAGACGAGTATCTATAATGCGTGCGGTAAGTGAAGAGTAAATTTTTCAATGACAGTATGTTGAGCATCACAGAGTTTAACAGAAGGCAAGCATGTCTACAGAAGTGACGGAATGAACAATAAAATTGTCTCAACGTAATAAAAGTCTATTAATATTTTCCTGTCTAAATTGACAGGAAAATGAAAAAGTATTCCAAAAGTACACACGATGAATTGAAAGGCAATTTGCAAATGTTGTCATATTGTTATAGCATTTAAGAAGATCGATGAAATTATAAAATATAAATTCATGAATAATAATGAAGAAACGACAGTGGTAATAATAGATCAACAACTCATTTCATTGATTTGAGTAAACATGCTAAGTCAGATCGTCAACTTTGTCTCTGCGAAGCTCAGACGTTTGCAGACATAAAGGACAAATGGCAGCGGCAGCTGGCGCTGAGTTTTACACGACGTCGTCGTACGTTCATTAAGACAACTTCCAGAGCATACGCTTTGTTGCGTGACCTCAATCACTTCATGGAACACATGACTCTCTCGGGGACACGACATGGCATACTTATAACGGCACCACGTTCAGTGTAGCAACCAGCTGTGTAGGTGAGCTTTCAGCTGCCCCTGTATGAATGCTTTAACCCTCTATACCGCCGTATGTCACTCTCCGGGAACATAACTTTCAATTTAAATTATACGTAAACTATTGAGTGTAGCAACCTGAGGACGTTTGTACGCAACAGAGAACATTTTAAAGTTGTCGTACGCGGCGGCAACCATCAGTGCAAGTCATTTTGCGCTCACTAGAACGTATCCTTTTTGTGAAGTAGGCTTGTGACAATATTGCTCCGGTTACTCGTGTCAGGCGGTAGAGGGTTAGCGGTCAATAGAATAGACTGACTAACAACGCAATTTTTGCGATGTCAAAATAATATCACAAGAAATAACCGATAATATTTCAAATGGCATGGGAGGCTTAGTTGCACATATAATGTAATGACCGAGAACGGACTGTAGCCGAGGGTGCCTTAAGGCGGCTCTCAATAGGTCAGTAGACTACCACCTGTCTCGGTGAATAATTTAAAGGAATCGACCAGGAAAAATTGACTGCCCCAAGTGAAAGAAAGCAGAGAAAAACGAGTAGGGAAAGCTTGGCATGCTGAGGCAGCCGTTTGTACCGTCTGCTCAGGATAACGGTACTACAGATGATCATCTCCAGACAGTTGAGATGCTGGCTTACATCCTACGTATTCAACTTCAGCGAGCAAGTTTTGCGGCATATGAATAAAAACGTGCGGAATATAGAATAAATTTTTTATGGGGTGCAGCAAAAACTTTCAGTTATTTTTTAATAAATTAGAAACCTCTTTTTGGGAGGTGCTCATTCAATAAGTTGTAATCTAAATTAAATACTAAAAAATGCAAGCCGGTATATATCAGCGGCATGACAGCTCGAATCAGGCATTTGGCAATTGCATATTAGTGCGGCAAGATGATCGTTAAAACTTAACAATGTCGCAGGTATAAAGTGATATTCTAGTGATTGGCTAATGCACGAAGGCTGACTCGCAAGTAATCAACCATTTGAGCAATAATACTTGCACGGCAGGCAATATATCAAAGATAACCACGTACCAGATAATATCATCGATGCAATATCCATTCCCTATATATGGTAATCGTGCGGTATGCTATGCAATACAAGCGAATCAGAAAAATTATTAAAAATGAGCGCTTTACGATCATTTGCACAGGTGACGGTGAAAAATATTCAATATACAATACTCATGTGTAAATTTAATTATATTAAACCATCTTAGAGTGTCGTGAAATACCTGAAATATAGTAATATGCATACTACGCAATGCTCGGATTTCTGTTGATTCCAGACATACAACAATCGTATCTCTAACAATATTTATGACATAACAATGGGTATTGCCATGCACTACATAATACCTATGCACTTTAAGAAAAATCCCCGTTAAACGGTCTCACCGGCGACACGTGAAAAAAACAGCGTAGGGCCGTTTTTATTCAAATTCGACACTTAAAACCCCTACAACATCTGAAAAACGGATAAACGGTTTATTTTCACGTGGCGGCCGGCCACTACAACACCGGTTAGACCGTTTTTTCTTACCGGTTTTTCGAACATTGTGGGTGAATAAGTACCAAAGAATACTTATGTTTTATTCATCTCTAGCATCCAACGAACACAAAGAGACACTCATCTCTGTTGGACTTCACCTTATTTCCGGCGCAGTGTTCGGGGACAACTTTTGATTTCCGGGCTTCCATAGCTAGCTGCGTTCGAGTGCACAGAAACTGCGGAAATGATCAAGCCCCGAAGTTGACAATGAGGCTCTCGCCTTAGTACAATGAACTGGATAATTTTCGGGACAACGAAAAGTTGCAATATAAAAACTAACTTGCGCACTGACAAACGATGATGAAGGCTGAAAGTTTCGAGCCATGGCGTATAAAAGCCGATAAATATTCGAGCAAACTTTTGATTGCTTCGATACATTGAGTTTGCCTCGACTTCAAGCTGCTGGAGCGCGTCTATCGAAGTATGATTTCAATACGTATCACTAAATTTAAATTTGAATCGTTATTTGGCAATTATAATTTGCCATTTTTTATCAACAAAACTGCAAATCATGCACCCACAACAGAACATTAGCGATTTATTATGCATTAATACCATAAATTAGGCCTTTATGGGTAATTAGTAATTTTCAATTAGGAAATAGCTTGAGCACGTACACTCAAATATCGCGGACTCAAAATTATTTGTAGCTAGCAAAGTTTTCCTTCAGTTTGTGTCCTTCAAAAGACTCTCGGGCTGACCACTTCCGTAGTATAAACATAAATAACGAAGAGCAAACTGTAATATGAGTACCAGGAAATAAATCCTTTGTTTATGAAGCTCCGTATCTTGTTTTGATATTTTTAATTCAACTTTAAATTCATAAGCAGCATGCGCTTATCACGAACTGATGAAGCTCGTGTAGTTAGAACGGGCCAATAAACGACGGAGTTCAAGAACGTAACGTTCGCGAATATTACAGGAATTACACGATTGAGTAAAAGCATTCAACGTTCTCGAACATTAAGGCGAAAATGTATGCGTAACCAAATAAAAGTCTTATAGAAGTCATGAGTCGCAATAAATCACATGATACACCCTTCTAATGATTTAAAAAGTTACTATAAAGATTGCAGCACCAGAAATTTACACAACAAAACCTTCCGTGGCAGTTCAAAGAATTTTTTCACTTTTATCAAAACTTGCAACACTTCCACCACTGTTGGACTGGCTCAGAGTTACTGTGCAGTCATACAAGGCATGACGTTCGTTTCAACTAGAGTTGTTGAAACGAGTCACATACTCGTTCATTTCAACTAGAGTTGTTTAGTAAAGAGATAGCTGCGCCAGCACCGAAGTTGCTGCATACAGCGATGAATTCATCGTTCGGTGCATCCGACAAGTAATGGGAATAAAACTTACACCGGAAGCTGAGCAAGGACGTTAGCGCAGCCATAAACTTTCAGCGTGCACATGCAACAGTTATACCAACACCAAAGGTGAACAAAAATTCACGTACGAGCTCAAGGCTACATCAGCCTTTTTTTTTTTTTAGATTACGTTCACAACGCGAAACTGGCATTTGGGAGAAATAA